GTTGATCCAGCCTGCAGAGGCCCTGCTGCTCCCCTGTCCTCAGAAAGGTGTCCAGAGGATACAGAAAACTCCCCTGAAAGCTATTGAGAGTCAGTTCCTTCCTCCAACCTCCTCCAGCTAGTCATAGGAATTATAATGAAATTATGCCCTCCTCCCACTATCTGAGTGCACTGATCCATCCCCCTGGCTACACAAACTTAAGGGAATATTGATGAACTTGGTTAAATCTGGAGCAACCCCAACTTCTCAGAGAACATCGGAAACCTTTGGCTTCCTCAGCTTCCAGAGGATGCCAGCCAGCAAAGTAGACACGATGGTTTCAAACGATCCACATAGCCAACCAGCCTGCTTAGCCATCTAACAGACATTTCCACTGCCCTCCAGCCTTAGAACACAGACCACAACTTCTCACTGCCAATTTGCCACGTGGAAATTGCTCAGTAGCTTCCTCTGCCACACACAGCCCTGGGCACTCTGCCTGGAGTGCTCATTTGCTAGCATGCTTTGAGAGGCTGGTTGGCAGGTCTGTGTTGTGCTGTGGGTGAGAGGAACGTGGGGCATGGGGAAGATGACAGAACTTTGGGAGAAATAAGCAGGATTATGCCGAGAGGTTTAGGAGCCAGAATTTGGTAAACTTGGGTTGTAACACTGTAGGATCGAAAAGAGTGAAAAATTGAGCCTGTGGTGGTCCTTACCTAACCGCATCCCAAAAGAGATAACGAATATGTAACAGCTAGGCTGGGTCCAGACTGTCACATCCTGATTCAAACATCTCCATCTCCAATGCTGCCTTGTTGAAACAACGACATTAATATGCAGCGGGAACTGTGTTTATGCAGCCATGGACAGTCCTGCCCCAGAAACACACCTTGAACGGTGACAGGTGCCTGTCCAGCTATTCTGTGTTCCCCAGCTTACAAAGGGAAGAAGGTATCAATTAGATCAGTAGCAACTCCCAGGCTATTAATACACATTTCTCATGTAGTACATTCTGATCCCCTTTACATTTCTAGCCTCAATAAACAAGTAAGGTGCCTCTACACTGCACCTGGAGTTCGAAATAAGCTACACAAGTTGAGCTATGTAAATTGCATAGCTTCTTTCAAATTACTTTTGCAATAGCTTCTTTCAAAATTGGGCGCTGTCTACACAGCACTTATTTCAAAATAAATCACTGTTCCAAAATGCCCCTTACTCCTCGTGGAGTTTACAGGAATGTTGGAATAATGAGCCCGTTGTATTTCAAAATAATAGGCGCACTCAAAAGATGCGGCATAGCTACTTCAGAACACCTCTGGTATCTCAAAATAGTGCTGCAGTGTAGCCGTAGCCGTAGAATCCATCACACTAATAATTCATGAAGTGTTCACTCACTTTACCCGTCAGTCCATCAGTGCATTTCCTTGGCACCATGAGAAATATTCTGTTTAGTATGTTTGCTCTGCAAGGAGGAAATTCCTTTTGCTAGTGTCCTGTCTGTATCAAACTGTATTCAGACTTGTTTCTGAATTTGGATTTCCTAATTTCATCGTAAAGAAACCAGACTTTTACATAGCACCAGGCTGTTCTCAATACTGCATGGAAAAATCATATTTTATAACAAAGTGTAAAGGAGAAGGTGAAAGCTGATCACAGAGTTAATCAAGCATTGGTTGAGCCCAAGCAGTTATTTTGATCCGAAGGAAAAACATCACTACCATTTTATCCAGACGGGGTGGGGGATGAGGTGAGAGATGAACGTTCATGACAACAGCACCAAGGGGAGTCAATCTTTTCCCTTTATTCAGCACTGGTGAGGCCACATCTGGAGTATTGTGTCCAGTTCTGGGCCTCCCACTACAGAAAGGATGTGGATGCATTGCAGAGGATCCAGCAGAGGGCAACCAAAATGATTAGGGGGCTGGAGCACAAGACCTACGAGGAGAAGCTGAAGGATTTGGGCTTATTTAGTCTGCAGAAGAGAAGAGCGAGGGGGGATTTTATAGCATCCTCAACTTCCTAAAGGGAGTTTCCAAAGAGGATGGAGAGAGGCTGTTCTCAGTAGTGACGGTTGGCAGAACAAGGAGCAATGATCTAAAGTTACTTTTGCAATAGCTTCTTTCAAAATTGGGCGCTGTCTACACAGCACTTATTTCAAAATAAATCACTGTTCCAAAATGCCCCTTACTCCTCGTGGAGTTTACAGGAATGTTGGAATAATGAGCCCGTTGTATTTCAAAATAATAGGCGCACTCAAAAGATGCGGCATAGCTACTTCAGAACACCTCTGGTATCTCAAAATAGTGCTGCAGTGTAGCCGTAGCCGTAGAATCCATCACACTAATAATTCATGAAGTGTTCACTCACTTTACCCGTCAGTCCATCAGTGCATTTCCTTGGCACCATGAGAAATATTCTGTCTAGTTTGTTTGATACAGACAGGACACCAGCAAAAGGAATTTCCTCCTTGCAGAGCAATTAGTATGTTTGCTCTGCAAGGAGGAAATTCCTTTTGCTAGTGTCCTGTCTGTATCAAACTGTATTCAGACTTGTTTCTGAATTTGGATTTCCTAATTTCATCGTAAAGAAACCAGACTTTTACATAGCACCAGGCTGTTCTCAATACTGCATGGAAAAATCATATTTTATAACAAAGTGTAAAGGAGAAGGTGAAAGCTGATCACAGAGTTAATCAAGCATTGGTTGAGCCCAAGCAGTTATTTTGATCCGAAGGAAAAACATCACTACCATTTTATCCAGACGGGGTGGGGGATGAGGTGAGAGGTGAATGTTCATGACAACAGCACCAAGGGGAGTGAATCTTTTCCCTTTATTCAGCACTGGTGAGGCCACATCTGGAGTACCGTATTTTCCGGCGTATAAGGCAACTGGGCGTATAAGACGACCCCCTAATTTTTTAGTTAAAAGATAGGTTTTCGTCTTATACTCGCCGTATAAGACTACCCCCCCTTAAGAGGCCAACCGGCAGCGCCCCAGCGCCCCTCCGCCTCCCCGGCTTTGCTCCCGGTGTCCCTGGTCTTAGAAACTTAACGGTGATCCTCATACAAATCCCGTCATGTCTGGGTCCCAGCTGTAATCAGGCAAAGGGTTGAGTGGTGCTCTTCTCATCTCCTTTGTTTTTTTCTTTGCAGGTCTCCATGAACTTCAGTGCTCCCTGCCTGTGGAAAACAGAAGAATCTTTCTGGATGAATTATCCGAGGTCAGCTTTAGTGAATGCAAATTTAGCTTGTCGTTAACGGACCTTTTTATCATCATCTTCTCTGGAGTGGCGGTCTCCATCGCTGCCATTTTGTCCAGCTTCCTCTTGGCGGCACTGGTGCACTGCTTCCAGATATGATTCTAACAGCACCAAGGGGAGTGCATCTCTCTGCAAGTCCTTGGCTTAAAGAAACAATGATCAGTTTCAATCAAGATCATTACAAAGGGTGAAATGTGCCCATGTGCAAAGGGCAGCACAAGACCGATGCATTATTCAAGCCTCATTTTAACCCTCAAAATGAAGAGTAATTGGGTTTTAGCACAACACTGGTAACCCTCTCTGCAGAGAGGAATTTTACCCAAAGTAACCTCCTGGGTGGTTTTTGTTGTTGCAAGTGGGGGAGGGGGGAATAATCCCACAGGAGAATGCACAGGTATTGTTGGGAGGTATATGAAAATACTATGATGTGAAGTTGAAGGCTTCCATTTAAGAAGCTGATTTATTTTTATAGGTTATAGTGAAAAATACATGAAAAATACCCCAAACAGACAGCCCTGAAGACTGAAGTGCTGTTGTTATTTACAGAACATGTCTATTGCAGGCTTTCCCACCCAGACTCACTCATGTGTCTCAAACCTGGTCTGATGGGATAAAGAGGAGAGCATAGCTCAGTCCACAAACCCATTCCACTCTTGCCTTCTTTCTGAGGTCAGCACTAATGCTATATTTTGGGGTTGTGCCAGCAAGGCCCCTCTGCTATTGGAGAACCAGACACAATAGAATAAATGGACACAAATCAAACATTAAGAATGGCAACATACAAAAACCAGTGTGGGAGCACTTTACCTTCCCTGGACACACAGCATATGTCTAGACTACATGCCTCTGTCACTAGAGGCATGTAGATTAGGCTACCCGGCACAGGAAAATGAAGCGGTGATTTAAATAATCACCACTTCATTTAAATTAAAATGGGTGCCGCGCTGAGACGATCAGCTGTTTGTCGGCTCAGTGCGCTAGTCTGGGCACTCCGCGGTCGACATCAAAGGCATTTGTCGACCGCCCTGGTAAACCTCGTCCCACGAGGCATAATGGGGCAGTCGACAAATGCCTCTGATGTCGACCGCAGAGCATCCAGACTAGTGCACTGAGACGACAAACAGCTGATCGTCTCAGCGCGGCAGCCATTTTAATTTAAATGAAGCGGTGATTATTTAAATTGCCACTTCATTTCCTTTGCCGGGTAGCCTAATCTACATGCCTCTGTTGCCAGAGGCATGTAGTCTAGACATACCCGAATTCATATGCAAACTTGACACCATCAGAAAGGGTCTGAATAGAGACATGGAATGGCTCTCTGATTACAATAAGTAATTCCCCCTTCAGATACTCTCTCCTCATCACTATTGTGGGTGAGCCACATCTACCCTGACTTAATAAGCACTAGTGTTATACTCCCATCCCCATATTCTTGCCTTTCCTTCATGTCAAGCATCTGAGGAAGTGAGCTGTAATTCAACAAAGCTTGTGCCCTAATACATTTGTTAGTCTTTAAGGTGCCACCAGAATCCTTGTTTCTGTTGACACTTGTCCAGATACCCCCCAAACTTATTTTGTATCGGTTGTGTAATAACAATCAACCAGAGATACCAACTTTTAGTTACTGCCTTCCTGGCCCGAATGCAAACTTAGAAACTTAACGATGATCCTCAGACAAATCCCGCCATGTCTGGGTCCCAGCTGTAATCAGGCAAAGGGTTGAGTGGTGCTCTTCTCACCGCCTTTGTTTTTTTCTTTGCAGGTCTCCATGAACTTCAGTGCTCCCTGCCTGTGGAAAACAGAAGAATCTTTCTGGATGAATTATCCGAGGTCAGCTTTAGTGAATGCAAATTTAGCTTGTCGTTAACGGACCTTTTTATCATCATCTTCTCTGGAGTGGCGGTCTCCATCGCTGCCATTTTGTCCAGCTTCCTCTTGGCGGCACTGGTGCACTGCTTCCAGAGATGCGCTCCTAGTAAAGACGATGACGACGATGAAGACGACAGTGAGGACTGAACTTTTCCCTGTATTTAAACGTCCCTTGTGGATCAATTGCTGGATCCGCAGCCAATGTCAAAGAAGAAGAAAGAAAAGTGAACGTAGATCTCTCAGCCTAGGGTCTGTTTCTGTGAAGCTCAATCGAACATTGCATTAAAAGTCAGGGTGGGGGTAGGAGAGGAATAAAGAGGGGAAGGATATCAAAAGAAACCCCTGTGTTTGAACAAGATTGTCCACATGATAGCCCATAATAGATTGTTCTAATTGCATGCTAAAAAGGACACACTATAGGCAGCCTAAGTATAGAGCTTTCCGTTGGAAATACAGAAACAATTTCAGGCTGTCTCCTTCCTCTCCCTGGGAAGGGAGAGAGTCAGATAACCTCACCCCACTTCCCAAGTGACAAAATTCAAATTTAAAATGGTTCACAGAGCTATAAAAAACATTCTCGGAAGTTTGACGTTTTCTTGACACACAGTCTCTCTGTCAATTCCTCCTGCAAGTCCATGGCCCATATCATGAGGCACATTCAAGCAAAGAAATATTTTAAATAAGCCAATAGTGTTCTAGATCTCAACAACAACAAAACCCCTCTCAAGCATTTGCTGCAGTCCAGAAATTTCCTGCAGCCCAGCACACGTTGGTCAGGGTATAAATAATGATAGATTTTCTCTTCCGTTTCAGGTGCAATGAAGCAAAGACAACCCTTTGCTCTATTTCCCCCTTCAGATACTCTCTCCTCATCACTATTGTGGGTGAGCCACATCTACCCTGACTTAATAAGCACTAGTGTTATACTCCCATCCCCATATTCTTGCCTTTCCTTCATGTCAAGCATCTGAGGAAGTGAGCTGTAATTCAACAAAGCTTGTGCCCTAATACATTTGTTAGTCTTTAAGGTGCCACCAGAATCCTTGTTTCTGTTGACACTTGTCCAGATACCCCCCAAACTTATTTTGTATCGGTTGTGTAATAACAATCAACCAGAGATACCAACTTTTAGTTACTGCCTTCCTGGCCCGAATGCAAACTTAGAAACTTAACGATGATCCTCAGACAAATCCCGCCATGTCTGGGTCCCAGCTGTAATCAGGCAAAGGGTTGAGTGGTGCTCTTCTCACCGCCTTTGTTTTTTTCTTTGCAGGTCTCCATGAACTTCAGTGCTCCCTGCCTGTGGAAAACAGAAGAATCTTTCTGGATGAATTATCCGAGGTCAGCTTTAGTGAATGCAAATTTAGCTTGTCGTTAACGGACCTTTTTATCATCATCTTCTCTGGAGTGGCGGTCTCCATCGCTGCCATTTTGTCCAGCTTCCTCTTGGCGGCACTGGTGCACTGCTTCCAGAGATGCGCTCCTAGTAAAGACGATGACGACGATGAAGACGACAGTGAGGACTGAACTTTTCCCTGTATTTAAATGTCCCTTGTGGATCAATTGCTGGATCCGCAGCCAATGTCAAAGAAGAAGAAAGAAAAGTGAACGTAGATCTCTCAGCCCAGGGTCTGTTTCTGTGAAGCTCAATCGAACATTGCATTAAAAGTCAGGGTGGGGGTAGGAGAGGAATAAAGAGGGGAAGGATATCAAAAGAAACCCCTGTGTTTGAACAAGATTGTCCTCATGATAGCCCATAATAGATTGTTCTAATTGCACGCTAAAAATGACACACTATAAGCAGCCTAGGTATAGAGCTTTCCATTGGAAATACAGAAACAATTTCAGGCTGTCTCCTTCCTCTCCCTGGGAAGGGGGAGAGTCAGACAACCTAACCCCACTTCCCAAGTGACAAAATTTAAATTTAAAATGGTTCACAGAGCTATAAAAAACATTCTCGGAAGTTTCACGTTTTCTTGACACACAGTCTCTCTGTCAATTCCTCCTGCAAGTCCACGGCCCATATCATGAGGCACATTCAAGCAAAGAAATATTTTAAATAAGCCAATAGTGTTCTAGATCTCAACAACAACAAAACCCCTCTCAAGCATTTGCTGCAGTCCAGAAATTTCCTGCAGCCCAGCACACGTTGGTCAGGGTATAAATAATGATAGATTTTCTCTTCCGTTTCAGGTGCAATGAAGCAAAGACAACCCTTTGCTCTATAATGCTGGGTACCAGGATCTTTATCTTAGTGTATGGCTCAAATCCTGGGACAATATTGTCCATCCCGGGCCACTTGCACAACTTCACTGTACTGATATACGCTGGTGCATTCATTCTGCTTCAATGTAAACAGAGCTTCTTGACCCCCAAGTTCATGATGATGAGACCTGAGCATGAAGCAAAATGCTACATGAAAATCCCCAATGTTGGAGTGATTTCTCCTGAGTTGGCATTTTTAAATGGGTTCCCCTTGGATGAACTGGGAAAACCCCAGGCTCAGGGCATTTGCAGTCAGGGTCACTTCAAGGCCATGCCTGGTAAGAGGTGGGTTCCGAGTAGGAGCGTACAGAGTTCCCATTCTGAAACAGAAAACAAGCCACTAAAACGCTCATACTTAGTGCGATGGTTTACTCTCGGGAAGTGGAGAAATAATTGGATCTGGATTTCGATTACCCACAATAGTGGAGAGTTTGTCCTGGAGGTTTTCACTCGGCCCTGTCTTAAGATGCGGCCAAGGGTAAAACAGGGCTCTGGACCGGGGTTCAGATCACAAATCCCCATGTGCATTTAGTCGCTGATGCACGGCAGGACTCAAATATGTGCCGAAGCCCCTGTGATTTCAGCAGGGTTGAGG